CGTGGGCGGCCGCCGTGAGTAGAAGATGCCTGGTAGAAGGAATAACGGACAGGCCGGAAAGGAGCCCCGAGAGTTCCCGTGTCCAGTCCCTGCGTCAGGCAGCCTGGCCACCAGCACACCTGCGGAGCCGGAAGTCCAGCCGGGGGAGATGGAAGACCACCTGGGGGGAAGCTGTCCACAGGAAGGGACCTGAAGCCCACAGGACTCAGCTGCTCAGGGGTGTCCTGCGGTGGTGGCTGTCAGTCGAGTAGAGATGGGACACCAGCGCCTGACCTAAGCACTGTCGGACACAGGCCCGCCATTCTGAAAGAGAAGAAACGACCAACCCCTCGGTGACGGCGGGACTTCTCAACGTCAGAGCCAGAGCTTCCTGGGCTGCGGTCTGGGGTCTGTGCTGCTGATGGCCGTGACCCCACCTCCCGGGAGTGCCCGTCCACGTGCAGTGGGTGCAGGGCCCCACAAAGCCCGGGGTCTGAGGTTCCAGCAGGAGGCAGGAGTGTCTGTGTGCCGGTGCCTTCGTCGGCGAGGGTCGGGGCAGAACCCTGCCGGCTGCCCCGCAGGGCTCTCCAGGCGCCCGAGTCCTCCAGGACTCGGGAAGGAGGCCGCGAGCGCAGGTGACCAAACACTGGCCGGTGGTCAGGTCTCACCCACGCTTTCTTCTCTTTTGCCTTACACCAACCTGGCTGGCGGGCGCCCTGGGGTCGGGCCGGTCTGTGCTCACTGAAGACGTGCCAGCCGCGGCCTTTAGGTCGCCCACCGGGCACCGCTCCCGCTCGCCAGTGTCTTCGCATCTGCGAGTCCATCCCCGAATTCACTCCTTTTCCGGCCTGTCCGATCCTCACTGTGTCCCTCATCCACCGTCCATGCGTGCCTGGGTGCGTCCCCTCAGTTATCCATCTGTGTGCACGTGTGTGTGTCTGTTAGTCATTCACTTATTTCCCTCATTCACAAGCCAAACCCTTCGAGACTAGTGAGAGTTGCTGGAGCAAAGTGCAGGAGTCGGACCTCGAGTGACCCAGGTCGACTCGGCGTCATCGCCGGGCGTGGACACACGGAGATGGACAGACAGGCCCAGGGTCCCTGGGGACAACTGTCAGCCTGTGAGAGGTGCAGGCCGAGCCCACGGGCTGTGACTGGGCGTTCCCCATGTCACCGTGGGCCAGGGCCTGGAGGCCTTCCTCCCCCGGTTTTCCCTGTTGCCTGCCCCCCCCCCCCGGGGCCTCCTGGATCAGTCTCGTGACCCCAAGCCGTTCTTGGGTTGCTCCCAGGAGAAGCAGGAGACACCAAGTGCAGGGACCAGGGCTGCAGGGTGACGGGGCGGGAAGGAGGGGCCATCAGTGGCGATGGCGTGTGAGTGGCAGCTGTGGCCTGGGCGGGAGACACAGTGAGCGCCGTGGCGGGAACAAGAAACCACCAAGGGTGACTGAGAGCGAGCGTTTCGTCCTCTTCCCCCCCAGAGGTCCCCCACCCCGCTTTCTGTGTTTCATCGTAGTCACGCTGTTCCCGAAGGTCTGGGCGGGGGGGGCAGGGCTGCGGGGCGGGGCGCACGGCCTCGGCTCTGTGTGTGAAAGCGCAGACATCCGGCCGCCCTGCCCCCGGTGAGGCGCGGCGTCCACGGCAGTGGCCGTGTCGACTGCAGCCTGGTCCGTGGTGATGAGCTGAGACCCACTCGGACAGGAAGTTCTGCGGGAAGGACCTGCCCGGCCCCAGGCGCATGGACTAAGACGTCCAGCTCCGGGATGTCGCCAGGGCTGAGGTCGCGGGGCTGCCCCGCGGCCCTCTTTGGTTTATAGAGACCGTGGTCCCTCCTGACCTTTGACTGTCCTTCGCGGGCACGGCTCCTCATGCATCTCCGCGCCTGTCCAGCTGGAAGACTGTTTAGAAAGCGTCTGGCCGCAAGGGTCCCTCCTGTAGAAGAGCCTTGTCACGTGGCCTCCATTCTCGCAGGCCTGGTGGCACCTGTGGGCTCCAGTGCCCAGCCTTGACACTCTGGGGGGCGGCCTGGCGGCCACTGGACACACCTCCCTCCCCCCTTTACACTGTGGGTAGCCCGCAAGGTACCAGTTTCCCCGCAAGGCAGCCCCCGAGTGGCCTGCTTACCTGTGTATCAGAGCCCTGCCCCCATGGAGTGCCAACTCACTGCCAGTCCCAAGAGTTCTTGACCTCCGTGCCCTGGTCCCCTAGGTGACCGAGGCGGGGCTTTGAGAAGGGCCCCAGGGACAGGAGGACGCGCAGGCAGGCAGGGTCGCCCAGTGTGCTTGTCCTGTGGCCCCCCGGCCTGTCCCACCCTCACCGCCCGAACACCCTTTGGCTTATTGCTTTACTCAACTGAAAATACACAGCCATAAACACCCAGAGCAGCCAGCAGTATGGCGCGTATGATATTAATTTCTCCTCTGGTTTATTCGTGAAGGAGTCCACCATATAAATCACTCGAGCCACCAAGACAGAAGGGGAAATGTCATGTCCAAATGGAGCGGTAGCATGTGCTCCCATTGAAATCGAAGAGTGTGTGGCCGGTCCAAGTCTCCTACTGTGGGGACCGGCTACTGTGGGAGCCTTGCTCTGGATTACGAGGCGTGCTCAGGGCGTCAGCCCTCCCCCTCCGCCATCCTGGACGGCGCCGGGCACCCGCCGGCACGTGCCTGCCGAAAGCCTGGGGTCTGCCGGACAGTGCCCTCCAGACACCGTTTCTCACGACTTCTTTAATCAACAACCGTTTCTGACCCGGACTGGTTATAAGAGTTGCTATTCTCTCCTGCTAAATTACGTCTAATGAACATATTTGCATGTTATCAGATATAGCAATATATCATTTCAAATTTCAGCGTTTAAGCCTGCATCCCTCACAACAGCTTTTGTGGATTAGTAAGCAGGTGAAATCAAAAATCTCATTTCATATCTGACATTAATAACTTTCAGGGGGAATGAGCATTGGCATTTATGTCTGGGCCAGATCGAGCCTTGCGTCCTAGAAACCCAAGGGCAGCAGACAAACCTCCTCACCAGATAGGAAAATAAATCATGCATAATGCAGAATTTCTACCTTACATGTTAATTAATGTGTGCAATCAATTACTGATGTTACAATATGAGCAAGAAACTGGTGGGGAATGGGGTAATAAAAAATACCTATAGATTTATCTGCTTCTTTTTTCTATTTAAACAAATAGTCTTCAAGCCTGTGAATGCTGTGTTGAGACATGCTCTGAATAATAAGCATCATAAAATCTAATCAGATTTATAAGAGGAATTGATTGTTGTGGCAGAAAGAGAGGGTGGAAAATAAGCTGGAATTTAAGTGTTAATTTTTATGCTAATCCACAGTGGCTTCATATGAAGCAATTTTGTTCTGTGCCACAAATATAAAATTGTCCCTTGCAGAGAAATGTCAGCTTGCTAGACCTGAAAGCAGTAATTTATTAGGTATGTTTCTATTAGTATGTGTCAGAGTTGTTAGCAGGCTGTACACACATGGTGCTTCATACTTATCCTCCAAGTCTCAGAATGTTGCAGCTCAGTGGCTGGAACGCAGGGGCATTAATACATTATCATATGCGGGGTGGTCCGTGCCCTGTGGACAAAGGGCTATTTAATACAATTTAATGTCATTCTGAGAAGAAGTGGAAAAATAAAGACGGGGGACAAAATGGCATCTGTGTGTTTCCCAGCGCAGTCATGCACAAACCCTGCGTGTGAGGTACGACATTTCTGCCAAGAAGGAAAGAATAAAACTGGGCCATTTTTCCCCCCTTCTAACCTGTTCCCCACTGCAGTCCTTTCTAAATGCTATTAAGTGATCGATTTACACGGCCCGTGATGATGTCATCCGCAAGCAGGGGAAGGCAGAAGGCAGCAAAATCCTCGTGACAGTGACCTTGTTTCGGGATTCTCCGGCCCCTGGCGGCCTCCCTCCCGGGATATGGTTTCAGAGAATGTACTTTTTGGACACTCTCGAGCTACTGGGTAGTGAATTAATAGAGTTAAGGGTTCTGATGCAATTCACATATAGGTCAATTACATGCGCCAACATCTGCTGTCACCGTCATTTGCATGCGGCATTCATATGTTAATGACGCCTCTTTCTACTCAAGTAATATATTTAAAAAACGAGATTTGCATATCAGTTCGGATCGGTGTATTATAAGCAATGTATCATTCTCTCCTTCCCGGGGCGATTTTTTTTTTTAGGGATGATGCCCCGAGTGATGGCGGCTATATTTGAGCCCAGCTCTGATTTATACGAGAAACCCTTCGGTTGGGGACGCTTCCATTCTAAAGCCGCTTACGGCTTTATAAATCAATAATGACACAGATGGGCTGGTGATAATCTATTTAGAATGCCTGATAGCAAATATTGTTGCACAGATGATTAGAGTGGCAACTGCCTCAGCACAGACCTCCCCCTCCGTTTGCAAATGGTAAGTTTGAACCAAAAAAGAAAAAAAGAGGAAAAAAAGAAAAGAAGGAAAAAGTGCTTCCGCACAGACTTGGTGTCAGGACATCTTCGTGCTGGGTCTGGATGGCCGAGGAGAGAGCGTGGTGGGAAGAACAAAGAGGCTTCTCGCGCCTGCCAATGCAATCATATCCATCCCCTCGTCTTTAACAAAACAAGACCCTCTTAATGGAATTGTGTCTTCAGGTGTGAATAGCATTAAAAGCCTCCGCTCCTCTCCTTTTTGCCCCGGTACAGCGCAAGGAGGGAGAAAATAAAGTGGAGGTTGTCAGAAGTGGCAGCTGCTTGGAATCCTGATAAATATAAGCTTTTATTGATCTGATGAAAATGAAAGATCCCAGTGCTAGGCAGTATTTAGCTTCTTGTCTGCGGCACATCACCCGTGGCCTTGCGTGGGGATCGGTTTTCACTCCCACACGCCGGCTTCGATTTCATCCGTGACCTTTCCCGCTGAATTTCCTTGACCTCTGCGTGTGGCGGCGATTTCGCGAATTTGTTACATTTCACTTTACCTCGTGGCTTTCTGTATTTTCTTTTGTGATAGGGACCCCGGGACGCCCGCCTGGCAGTCCGTCAGTGCCCGGACCAGCCGCCTCCTCCCCGGGCTTCCTCTCGCCAGACTGACGCTCCTTAAGACACTATGCGGTTCACCTGCTAAGGTAAGACTTCCGAGATGTCAGAACTCGTTGCCCCGGAGGCACCTTGGGGCTTCCTGTTTTGTCTCTTTGGCCCTCCACAGATTCCAACCCAGGAGTCCCCCCCGCCACTGCAGGGGGCTTCCTCCCAGCTGGGACAGGTCTGGGCCAGGGTGTGGTGGAGCTTTTGCCCCAGGGGCATTGCTGTGGGGGTGGGCAAGGGAACAAAGCAACAGTGCAGAAATGCCCCCTCCTTGATTTTCCTCAAGTTTTCTGCCGGGATCAATCAGAGGCTTCAGTTCCCAGGCCCGAGGTGCCACTAACATATTCTGCTTCCCAGAAAGTGCCGGTGTTATTTTGAGTAGTTTTGATACAACCAAATCAAAGTGGAGATTTGAAATAGCTTTTCTGAAAGCCCGAGCTGAAGTCATAAATTATTCCGCACCACGATCCTTTCTGATAGTGAACCCAGACGCACCTCTCCGCCTGGCACTGCTGAAGTGTGGAAAAGGGGAAGTGAAAAATAAAATGAAGCATTTAAATCTGGGCTGCCGAGGGCCTCAGACCCGCATGCAGGCCAGTCGATAAAGGACCCTATCAATTAGGCTTCCGCTGGTGTCCTCCGATCTGGTTTATTAGCAATGGCCCCGGCGCAGGGTTCCAGTGGGAAGGGCAAGGAAAAAGGCAGGAAAAAGCATCCCACGGACCTCGGGGGCCTGGGCACTGTGGTGCCGCTCCCTCGCGGACTCTCGTGGGAGAAAACGTCGGAGGCACAAAGGTGGGATGTTCCCCTTTTACCCCTGATATTTGAGTTAGAAAGCGTCGATTTCACACTGTGGCGGATGCACCGGTGTCACGGGGAGGAGTGACGTGGCCTCGGGCTGCGCAGGGGTTGTCGTGGGGCCGCAGCTCCTTGGGGCCGCGTCTGTAGCCGCCCACAGGCTCCCGGCGGAGGCTTCCAGGAGGAGCTGTTGGCTAGTCCCCTCCCTGGCATGTCGCAGGCAGAACACTTTTCGGTTCCGGAGCTGTTTGCTTGGGAAAACAAGCGTGCGGTTGCCAGTAAGGTTTAGAATTTGCCTGGCAGATACGGGAACGTCTGTGAAGAATATTTTCCCTCTTGGGAGGCAAAACACAGATGGGGGAGCTAGGAGTCTTACAGTGTTTCACTGCTGCGTTGGTGGTGGGGATTCGCAGGCAGGGCGAGGGGCAGGGCTGGCATCCCCGGTGGGGTGCACCGCCGGCTCCCCCCGGAGGGGGGTGGGCTCTGCCCTCCTGCGTGGGGTGAGGAAGCCTGGCCAGGGGGCTGCGTGTCCCCTCGACCCTCATTGGACGGGCAAGGAAGACAAGGCCAAGTGTGACTGGGGGGACGTCTGGGGGAGAGCAGGAGTGAGTGAGACGGTGTCCTGTGTGAGGGGCGGCGACGCAAGAACACACCGGCACCGGTTCTGCCAGGCTCTCCGCCGGAGGCCTGCACGGTGAACAGTGCAAAGGGGCTGGGGAGTGAACGGCTGCAGCCCTGGAGTCCGGGCTTGGAGGCGGGGGGGCGGGGCCTGCTGTGGCCTCGCGGACCCTGGAACGTGGTTTCCTCCACATTCCTGTGGCTTTTATCCAGAGGGGAAACTGCATCTTGACAAACCGACCCTCCTAGGTGTGGGGGTGCTGGTAGGCGCCGGAGCTGGGCATGGCTGGTACCGGCTCCTGGCGGGGAGCATCCTGGCGACCCGTCTAAAGCTGGGCATTGCCGGCCCCGTGGGCGCAGGACGGTGCCCCGTGGCCGCTCCTGCCGACCCGGCTGGGGCGTCCTGTGCAGCTGGAGCCCCCAGCTGTGGGCCTGGTGGGAGCTGCAGGTGGGAGGGGCTTGGGCCCCCGTTGACCGGGGGACCGTCATAGGGTGCAGGTGACCCCACTCGCTATGGGGGGGTGTGAACTCCAGGCCCAGTCGCGGTCACTCCATCAGCGCTGTTCTGGGCTGCTGACCCCTTGCAGGGCGTGCTTCCCCCGGGTCCCCCAGCACGGCCGTGGAGCTGAGCCCCCTGCCCACGCATTCCCGGTCACTCAGCGGCCTGTGAACCCCAGGGTGAGGGTGAGCAGGGCCACCTTTACTTGATAGGTGAGGAGACACGTCCAGAGGCTGAGGGGCTGGCCTGCGGTCACTCACTCGGTCACTGGCCGGGCCAGAGCGGGACCCAGCGGGACCCCCCCAAGCGGGGTCCAGCCCTGTTTTCCCCGAACAGAACAGGCCGCCCCTGAGGCTGTGCCGTGCGGGGACAGCTGGGGGCCTTGCCGGTGTCTCTCCTGCCCAGCAGGCCCCCTGTGCCGTGGGCAGCCCTTGGCTCGCAGTGAGAGTTGGCGGTCACTCGCAGATGGACTGACCTCTGCTGTCTGTGACCATCACAGTTGGTGGCACAGCGGTTTAAGTAACCCAGTACACACCCAGTCTGCACCGCTCTCCATGGTCCCTGGACTGTAGGGGCGCCAGAGCCCGAGGCCCAGCCACGCCCAGGACACCGGGAGGCCAGGACCCTGGCGGGGAGTTCCTGACACCTGCCCCTCAGGTGTTCCAGTGGGTCCCCTTTGGGGCTACAAACCTGGCAGGTTTTGGAGAGAATGATTGGTGCCGAAGCAGCTCGGCCCAGAGAAGCCTCGGACTTGGCCCCAGACTGCTGCTGGGGTCGGGGCCACCGGGGAGGCGCTGGCCTGGCTTGTGCTGTGTCCTGGGCAGGCCTTGTGCCCCCGGGCAGTGTCCCGGACCCACTCTCAGGGTCCTGGCGGCAAGCGTGTGAAGCCGGCTGTGAGCGGAGCAGCCGGAGAGAGCTCACCCCACTGCAGCCATGTGGGGCGGGGGCAGAGCTTTCCCAAGTAGCCACGTTTTGTAAAAAAAAATTTTAAAGATTTTATTTATTTATCTTTAGAGGGGAAGGGAAGGACAGAGGGAGAGAAGTATCAGTGGTTGCCTCTGGTGTGTCCCCGACTGGGACCTGGCCTGCAACCCAGGCATGTACCCTGACTGGGAATCGAACTGTTATCCTTTGGTTCGCAGTTTTTGGTTCGCAGGGCATAGCCACAGTTTTTAAGGAGAGAGAAGTAAAAAAAAAATCTAGTTCTTTCGTTTTTTTCCTCCTCTCTAAGGCTGGCAACTAATTTAAGTTCTAAACCCTCTTCCCGCAAATGCGATGTGTGCGTGGCCCAGACAGAGCTGCCTTCTGCTCTGGGTGGCTCTGCACTCAGCACGGAGCCCAGGGTCCCCCACCCCTGTGACACGCGCCCCAGCCGTCCCGGCAGCCCGGCTCCGGAAGGACGGAGGTGCTGCGGGAACGCGCACCGGCTGGTCGTCGGTCTGTGTCCTTGCCCTGCGTTCCCTTTGGCCGAGAGGCCAGGGCCAGGGCCAGGGCCTGGCTGCACGGTCGGGAAGCCCCCGACTTCTGGACATACGTTTCCTTCACTGCTTCCTGCTGGACCTGCTCCAGGGTCCTCGAAGGTGGGTGGGCAGGTGTCCCGTGGACACCCCACTGTGAGTCTCCCCTGTGTCTCCCCAACACCTGAGCTACAGGCACCTGTCCAAGTCCATTCTGGAGCCGTGGTGATGGGTGGGTCTGATTCCCGGACTCCAGGCTTTGGGGACAGACCCAGCCCTTCCAATGCGGTCGAGGGGCTGCTCTGGGGAAGGCCCTGCCTCCTCTGAGGGCGAAGGCCACCTGGGCTGAGGAAGGAAATGGCAAGCCGGCTGGGTCACCTATTGCCTGGCCCTGCCTGGTCACGTGACTCTGCTCCTTCCCTCAATGTGGTCCCTGCCCTCCGCTCCGGTGGTGATTGGCAGCCGGTGGGCCAGCTGCTCCCCAGACGGTGGTCAGGTGTTCGGGGCGGGCCGGCCAGCCTGTGGCCCCGCTTCCCGGTGGACCCCGCCGGGCTCCCTCCCCCCGTCTGCATGCCGCGTGGACTTTCTGCGTGTGTACCATTATTTGTTTTTATTTCCGTAATTCCTTTATTGTTTGCACAACGCTGTCAGACTGTTGCCTGAAAGTATCACAGGATAATTGCGGAACGCCTGCATAAGTAATTTCGTAGGAAACCGGGCCTCGTCTGCATGGAAAATTGTTTCTCGTGGCTGCATCCACGGACTTCATTATGTCGAGGCTGCTTACCGGCTCGCACCTTCCCCGCCGGCCGCGGAAACTGGACACCAGCAAACACTCTTGACACTCTCTTTGGCCCCGTGACATTCCTGGAGGGGGACCGCGGGTCCGATGTGGTCCGACCGAGCCTGGCCCCACAGGAGGGCCCTCGGGGTTGGCGTCCCCAGCAGTGGGGCGGCCGGTGGCTCCTCCCGCCTGCGCCCGGCGTCCCTTCTGACCACATTTTCTGTGATATTAATGGTGTGTGGTGAGGAAGAAATGTGTTTTATTCTCCACTCTCACCCCGCTGTTATCAAAGTAACTTCCAGCTTATTAGCGACAAAGGACTTTTCTCCCCGCCGCTGCCCTGTTCGCCAGGGCTTCCTGAATTAAACTGCGGCTTCCTGTCCTTTATATGCACGGCCACATCTGGGCAGCCTGCTCACAGCCCCGCCGCTTAATAACAATCACCTTCCCTTTCAGTCTCTGTTGATTGTTTCTAATTCACTCTGACAGATAGTGCCTGACAACTTGCCGGCGCTTCCCTCCCTCCGTGACCTGGAGTTACTCACAGCACTTATAGAGGCTGTCATTTTTAATATTTGATTTCATTTTAAGTTATGTGTTTTACTGAGAAGATGAAACCAAAAAAAGGGGACTTGTAATGGAACATAAATTTAACCCTTCTTGCCGCCCAGCCGCAGCCGCAGCCGCGGTGGCCTGCCCAGGGCCGGGGGCCGCCCGTCGCCCCCAGTGCGGAGGCGGCTGCCGAGACCGGCTTTGCTTTTCTCCTTTCTCTCTCTTCCTTCCTTCCTTCCTTCCTTCCTTCCTTCCTTCCTTCCTTCCTTCCTTCCTTCCTTCCTTCCTTCCTTCCCCTTCTCTCCCTTCCCCTCTTCCAGCCTTCCCCCTTTC